ATGGTAATAGTGAGAAAACCCAGCAAGGCCTGTCTGTTCAGATACTTCTTGGCCTCTCTGTTGTAGCATTTCTTCCTTCCAGGTAACGGGCAGGACCTCTCTGGAATGAGAGTCAATTATTTTTGTAACTTTTCTTTTAGGTTTGGGGGTACATGGGTAAGTTTGTATATAGGTAAACTTGTGTCACGGGGGCTTGTTGTACAGATTAATTCATTACCCGTATGCTAAGGCTAGTTATTTATTTCCAATAGTTATTTTTTTCTGATCCTCTCCCTCCTTCTACCCTCCACCCTTAAGCAGGCCCCAGTGTCTTTTGTTCCCTTCTTTGTGTCCATGAGTTCCTATCATTTAGTTCCCACCTATTAAGTGAGATCATGTGGTTTTTGTACTCCCTATTCAATAAAAGGTGCTGGGTAACAGGCTAGCCATACACAGAAGATTGAAACTGGACCTCTTCCTTGAACCATACACAAAAATCTACTCAAGTTGAATTAAAGACTTCAATGTAAAACCCTAAGCTATAAAAACCCTGGAAGACAACCTAGGCAATAGCATTCTGAACATAGGAACTGGCAAAGATTTCACGACAAGGAAAAAGAAAGCAATTGCAACAAAAGCAAAAGTTGACAAATAGGATCTAATTAAACCAAGAGTTTCTGCACAGCAGAAGAAACTATCAACAGAATAAGACAACCTACAGAATGGGAGAAAATATTTGCAAACTATGCATCTGAGAAAGGTCTACTATCCTACTTCCATAAGGAACTTAAGCAAATTTACAAGAAACAAACAACCCCATTAAAGAGTGCCCAAAGGACATTAACAGACACCTTTCAAAAGAAGACATACATGTGGCCAACAAGTATATGAGCCCATTTTTTTATGACAAGCTCCTAGATAGAAAGGTGGGAGAAAGAGTAATATTTCTAGGTTTTATGGCTTGCTCTGGGGAAAAGGAGTTCTAGTTTCTATGGTCCACCATGGAGAAGAGTAATTCTGGTTTCTGACCTACTTTGGGGAACAAACAGGGGAAAGAGACAGGAGGACAGGGGAAGGTCAGAAAGACTTTGGTCCTGAGGCTTCTTCTGAGGCCTTCCAATGTCCTTTTGTTCAAAGTACTCGTCATGACAAAGTGCCATACTTTGGGGCGTCATTTTCTAAGCCCCAACAGAGACATCAGTATGAACTCATATTTAGTTTAATATAATGAATAAATTTAGAAATAAATGTGGTTTGCTCTGTATACAGGGTACAGAAATATATACTTAGTTCTTTTGATAAAAGAGCCTAGAAGAAGTGAAACAGCAGTAACAGCAAGCACACCCTGTGTCCAGATGTTGGCTTGTAAACACCATTCTCTATCAAAATAAAGAAGCCTCTTTGTAGAAGTAGTGGACTCTGTGACAGTGGTAGGAAAAATACAAGATGAGCTTACAGCATCATGTAATGCCCTAGAGTAAGGACATATTCTAAATAAAATAAAAACAAAACACAAAGGGTGAACAATGTCAAAGGAACATAAGGGCCTTCTGAAAGAGCTTCAAAGGATGAAAGTGGAAACATTTAGACCAAAAAAAAATAAAACAAAAACCTAGTATTGCCTTATAATCCAGTATAAAGTAAACAAACCAGAACACGCTAATATAAATGACGATTATAAACAAATAAATGAGAAAGGAGACAAATCTTGCTTACAGAAAAACTCCAAATAAGTTGTTTAAACACTGATCTCAGCAAGAGGTGGAGTTTAATTCCCACACACCAGCAGTGTGAGCTGGAATTAATGATTTGTTTCTAAAGAATAAAGCAGAGAAAGGGGGAACAAGAAGTAACTGTATGAGAGATAATTAAGCAAACTTTATCTAACATCTGTGATCATGTTAAACGCATCACTGACAAGTCATGTTGATAGCATGTGTCCATGATATGATGTGCTAGAAGAGAAATTTTATCACTGATGTTACTTGAAAAACAGCACAGCCCCAGGAAAATAATGAGAAAACCTCAGAAAAACATAATTTCCATTTCAGACATTCTATGAAATGTCTCATCAGCACTCCCTCAAAACACAGGGAAAGATGGACAATCTGCCATAACTAGAAGAGATTAAGGAAACCTGACAACTAAATGCAAGAAGAGGAAAAGAGTGGGAAAATGAATGAGATTGGAGTAAGTTCTGAAGTGTAGAAAGTAATAGTGTGTCTATCTTTTTTTTTTTTTTGTAGTTTTGACAAATGTACCATCATCAGATAAGATTATGACACAGGAGAAATCAGGCAAGTGTTTGTATTAGATTTGTACAGCTGCTGTTACAAAACGTCACATACCAGGAAGCTTCAAACAACAGGTATTTATTCTTTCACAGTTTGGAAGCCAGAAGTGCCAAATCAGTGACCCTGGACTGAAATCAGCACAGTAGCAAGGCCTGCTTGCTTCATAAACTATAAGTGAGAATTTAATTTCTTGCCTCTTCCATTTGATGGTGGCTGCAGGTATTCCAAATATTGTGGTCACATCACTTTAGTCTCTGCTTTCATGGTCACTTTGCCGACTCCTCTTTTGTCTGTCATCACATCTCTCTGTCTTCTTCTGATAGTGACATATGTGGGCCTTTAGGGCTCACACAGGTAATCCACAATACTATCTCCATCTTAATCACCTCTACATAGTCCTTTTAGGCAATATAAGGTAACATCGAAAGGTTCCAGGAATCAGGATGCATAAAGATTGTGCATTATAACAGCCTATTGAATTTATGTTATGTTTGCTACTGACACATATTGTCATGTTTATATTCTACTACATGGATGTTTAGAATCATTTCAGTTAATTCTGTAATTTATGTGTATGAAGTAATTTTCAAATGTAATCAGATGTTAAACCTTAAATAATTTCACATTTAATGTATTTTTATGATTTACTAAGTAGTATTTATTTGATATATTATTTTCTACTTAATGAGACATCACATCTAAGTAAAAATTATGAGATGGCTTCAAATGAGCCACATGATGGTAGAATTTTCAGGAAACGATTGTGTCTAAAAGTTGGAGAAAAAGTGCTTAGAATATAGGTAAAAATGTTTCAGCAAAGAAATTATCTGTGTCTTTTGAAATGAACTGTATGTCTGAATAGTAGGCTTATATAATAGATAGTTTGCTATAATCATGAATGGTTCAAAGGTTCAACATATTGATACAATTAGACTCAAAGCTTAATTATTTTATCCATTCATTTAACAAATACTTATTGAGAATCTCCTAGGAAACACACTCATTTAGGTACTAAAGATCTTATAAAAAAACAAAAAATTCACTGCTTTAATGAAGTTTGCCTTCTAGTTGGATAGGAGGATATATAGTAAACAAGAGAATAAATATACAGGAGAGTGTGAGTAAAAATGAGGAAGAATAACATGAGATGAGGGGCAGTGTACATGGGGTGGAGAGAGGGATTATTTTATAAAGGTGGTGAAGGAAAGACTCTATGACTGGGTCACATTTAAGGAAAGTCCTGAATGGAGCGAGGAAATATTATGCATAGAGAGTAGCAAGTGCACAGGCCCTGAGGTTGGAGCAGGCTTGGAGTTGTGAAAAACAGCAAGGAGAGCAGGCTGGACGAAATGGAGTAAAACACAGGTGAAGCAGCAAAAGGTGATGTATGTCAACTAAACTAAGAATGAAGGAGCAGAATTAACAATTTCAAAGCATTTGCAGAAAGAAAAATGTACATTTTTTAAACACTGTAAAAGTTGGTAGCAATATACAAAGAAATGCTTTTATTTTTACTCAGTTTTTCTGGTACTCTAGTTATTTTATCCTTTTAAAATTTAAAACATGAACATGTTGCTTCTATAAATCAGTAATGACACAAATATTAATTCATATGAGATGCTATATTTACATATTCTTGATAAAATGTGCCAAGGAAAAGCATATACTTTCATTTAATAATATGTTTTTTTAAACAAAATGAGGACTCCTGGAACAGTATTCAGCGAAATAAATTTAAAAGCATTAGGCTCAACTTTATATTCTACTCTCCAAATTAAGTATTTAAATTATTTTTACTAAATATTAGTGTATTACTCAGGGTTCTACAGAGAAACAGAACCAGGAGAGAGAGAGAGAGAGAGAGAAAAGGAGATTTATTATGGGAACTGGCTCATGTGAATATGCAGGTTGAGAAGTCTCACAATATACTGTCTGCAAACTGGAGAACCAGGAAGGCCAGTAGAGTAATTTGGAGTCTGAAGATCTGAGAAAGGTCAGGACAGGGTTGTGGAACTTGTATAAGGCCTGGAGGCCAAAGGCCCAAGAAACCAGGAACTCAAATGTCTAAGAACAAGAGAAGATGAATGTCCCAGCTCAAGAAGAGACACAATTCATCCTTCCTCCACCATTTTGTTCTTTTCAGGTGAGCCCTCAGTAGATTGAATGATGGTCACCCACACTGGGGAGGGCAGATCTTCCTTACTCAGTCTCCTGATTCAAATATTAATCTCTTCTGGAAACACTTTCACAGACATATTCAGAATAATGTTTAAGCAGCTATCTGGGCATCCCTTAATCCAGTCAAACTGACGCATAAAATTAACCATCAGAACTTGCCACATTACATTTAATCTGGGCACATTTTCCACACCTATGGAAAATTTCCCACTTCATGGGAAACCTTCATGTACTTTTATTAATAGACTTGTTTTTGCTCTGGTTTTATGTATATTTGTATTGACATGTGGTAGATAAAAATGCATGTAGAATAAGTGAATACATTAATATCTTTAAGGTTTTTGGCAAAGATGCCCCAAGATGTCTTAGCCATTCTTGTCCAGGTGTTATGTTTCCGGACATAATGTTTCTTTTTACTTAGACAGTAGACTTTTAAACAGGCACGACAATCACGTCAGGAATTTAACTTGATTGTGGACCTTAAATGTGATTCAGAACACAGAGAAGATCCGAGAGAAATGAAACTAGGTTATGGTGCATCCTACAATGTTAAACTGACCATCCTAAAGACAATTTTGCCTTCTCAATAACTTTCTTGAATGCACTCTTCACTTCCTTGTTCCTCAGACTGTAGACCAGGGGGTTCAGCATGGGGATGACCATTGTATAGAACACAGATGCCATTTTGTCTGTGTCCATGGAGTGACTAGAGCTGGGTTGTAAGTACATGAAGATAATAGTCCCATAGAAGATGGTGACTGCAATGAAGTGAGAGGCACAGGTGGACAAAGCCTTCTGGTATCCCGAAGCTGAATGCATCTTTAGGATGGTGATAAAAATGAATATGTAGGATATCAAGATAACCAGGAGAGCTAAAAAGATATTGAAGCTCACAACATAAACAAGAACAAGCTCGCTAACATGTCTATCAGAGCAAGAGAGAGCCATGACTGCTGGAATATCACAGAAAAAGTGATGGACTTCATTGGACTTACAGAAAGAGAGACTAAATGTGTCCCCAGTGTGGATGGAGGCATTCAGAAAACCACAGAGGTAGGAGCCTATGGCCAGACGAGCACATACACTTGTTGTCATGGTTGTGGTGTAATGCAGGGGTTTGCACACTGCCGCATAGCGGTCATAGGCCATTGAGGCCAAGAGGTAATTTTCCACAGTGGCAAAAGCTACAAAAATATACATTTGAGCAGCACATGCATTGTAGGAGATGACTTTGTCTTCTATAAGGAATCCAGCCATGACGATGGGAGTGACAGCCGAAGAGTAGCAAAAGTCCACTAGAGACAAGTTACTGAGAAAAAAGTACATGGGATTGTGGAGACAGGAATCCCAGAATATCACTATAATAATTCCCAGGTTTCCAACCAGAGTGATAATATAGATGAAGAGGAACATTATAAAGAGGGGAACCTGCAGTTCTGAGTCATTGGTTAGTCCTAGAAGAATGAACTGTGTTACTTCTGTCTTATTTTCCATCATTGCTCTGGGGGACTCACAGGATGCTTGTAGCAATACAAAAAGGAACAATGTGATAAATAAATTGAATTAAAATTGAAAAGTATGAGTACAATATGTATTCCTTCATTGTAGCAATAACTTGTACTTCAAGATTCCCTAGAAAAAACGTGGCCTTGACAACCAAAGGTAGTGCATTAATTATACAGAATTACATACTGTTGAAACTGAAGAATCTTAATAGATTATTTGCACAATTTTTAGATATTATAAATTTGTAAACTCATATGTAGAAAATTTACTAACCTGATCAAGATGACTCGTCTAGATGCATCTGTCTGTCAATTCACCTTTCCTGAGCACGGTAAAAGCTGACGCATGTTGCTAATTTACCAAGAACTTGTCTAGACATTTTAGATATATATTCATTATTTCCTTGCAACGATATTATGGATTTGATTAGTTGTTGCATTCATTTAAATTATGAAGCACAGGAGGTTGAGTAACATATTCATATTTATACAAGTATTAAATGGCAAGCCATGCTTTCGATCCATGCCAACTTTTGAACCCATGCTGAATGGTTCCTAAGTCTAATGGTCTAAACTGTATTTAAATCAAATTGAATACAACTCAATTTACAATCACTCATTGTCTTCTTTGGTACAAACTCAGTGTTTTGGGTTTTACAATGAAGTAAGCCAGTAATATACGCATAGTGAAAGTGATGGGATAACTGGGTTGTTAGGGGCATGTTCAACTAGCAGAAACAATTCTGAGAGAAGCCTATCATCAGATACGGCAGATACACAGCTTGAGTTCTTGGAAGAGAGGCGTGTCAGTCCACCACTTACCACCTGGGGACCACTGGTTCTAATCGAATTCCCTTAAACATCACATTTTCTTCTGTGAAACTAAAACAGTAATGTGACCTACTTTGAGGTAGTATTGTGAGAATTAAATAAGATAATCTATTAAAAATGCTAGATGTTAAGCACAGCCTAATGAGTGCTAGTTATAATATTAAATACTATTAGGATGGGTGATAATCTTTTTGTTGGTTTTATGAAAGTGGATGGTGACAAGCAGGGCTGCAGGCATGGGTGAGTTTTGAAATATTGAAGCTCCCATCTCCAATTTTCTCTTCCTCCATACTAGGACCACTGAGATTTTCTGTGTTTCTTTCAGGTTGTTCTTCCTCCAAGCAAATGATTGTGTGCTCTGGAAAATTCACACAAGCCTTTCTTTTTCTTAATTTCTCCCTTGAAATCCACATTTTACTGTGGGTAAAAAAGTTTCTTTTTCCTAAAGCCATTCTTTCTCTTATTACTGTTATTCCATAGTTAAAGATTAAGGGTTAAAATTTCCTACTTTATGGGCTATCTTTATTTAACTCACAGATCTGATTTGGTGGCAAGTTCCATGTGATAAAATATTTTTTTTTGAATCTATTCTTGATTAAGAACAATATTTTATTATTTATTTATGTTGTTTTTAAATTTCAATGCTCATTTTAGATACAAGGGTTACACGTACAGATTTGTTACGTGGGAATATTGCATAATGCTGAGGTTTGGAGTATGGATCCTGTCACCCTGGTGGTGAGCATACCATCTGATAGGTAGTTCTTAAGCCCACCCTCTCTTTCTCCATTAGTCCACAGTGTCTATTGTTCCCATATTTAGGTCCATGTGTTCTCATCATTTAGCCCTCACTTATTAGTGAGGACGTGAGGTATTTGGTTTTCTGTTATTGTGTTACTTTGCTTAAGATTATGGCCTCCAGATTCATCCACATTGCTGCAAAGGATGTGATTTCATTTTTTATGGCTGTGTAGTATTCCAAAAATCTGGTGTACAGATTTCTTCAAAAACTTAAAACAGAGCTACTATTTGACCCAGTATATACCCAAAAGGTAATAAGTCATTTACTAAAAAGACAAATACATATGGTCAACCTAAATGCCCATCAATGATAGATTGGATAAAGAAATGTGGTACATATACACCACAGAATATTATACAGCCATAGAAAAGAATGAGATCATCTCCTTTGCAGGGACATAGATGGATCTGGAAGCCATTATCCTCAGCAAACTAATGCAGAAACAGAAAATCAAATACTGCATGCTCTCACTTTTAAGTGGGAGCTGAATGATGAAAAGACATGGACACATGGTAGAGAACACCACACACTGGGGTCTGTCAAAGGGTGGTGGGTAGGAGGAGGGAGAGCACCAGGAAGAAAAGCTAATGGATGCTGGGCTTAATACCTAGGTGATGGGATGATCTGTACAGCTAATCACCATGGCACATCTTTAGCTATGTAACAAACCTGCACATCCTGCATGTGTACCCCTGAACTTTAAAGTTGGACATTTTTTTTAAAAAGACACATGTACCTATAAGATCATCAGCACACTATTCACAACAACAAATGTATAGAATCAACCCTGGTGCCCATCAGTGGTAGACTGGATAAAGAAGTTGCGGTACATATACACCATGGAATATTACACAGCCATGAAAATAAGAATGAAATCAGGAACAATACTTTAAATCTTTGTATTTGGATTGGGGTCTTTAGAAGGTTATCCAACCAATACTAACTACTGTTTCCTACTGTCTTTCTCTGAAACACTTGGCAACTTCACTTCCCAAGCCTGAGGTATGACGATGTTATGTCGCTAACTTTAACATACATGACCGCTTTTAGCATACACTATGTTCTACCAATAATAAAAACTTTATATATAAATGATGTGTGTGTGTATGTGTGTGTGTGTGAGAGAGAGAGAAAGTTAGGTATTATTATTGTTACTATTACTTTATCATTAAGAACATTGAGAATTTGAGAAGTGATGTGATGCTCCAACATTATATGGCTAGTTTGAGAGTCAAGATTCAAGAATTAAATCCACCTTCAATCTAAAGTCAAAACTTTCAGCCACATCACTGTCAACATATGTAGATGTGCTAATAATAGTAAGAATGAGATTATTAAAAAAAGTTAAAACACAGGTCATAGCTTGTTAATTCATTTAACACCCTTTTGTAGTTTAAAGAATGAACATTTCACCCTTTTTTGTTTGTTTTTGTTTTTTTTACCACTCATGAGAAGCCAATACATAACGAACAGATAAAATTACCACCTAGTCAATCAGAGTATCATCTATCTTATCTTTTGTTCATATCTTTGGAGGAAGAAGCGTGTTTCATAAGAACCACTAAATTTCCTATAATGGAACATTTATGCCCTACGCCCACCTCAGTATTTTAGAAAAAAATGTTGAAAACACCTATTTCTGCCCTCAAATAACTTAGAGTAGGTGTAGCTGCCCCACTGATTTTGCATGAGTTATACTTCTCTCTAAAATGTTTCTTAGATATAGACGCTTACCTTACAGCTGGATGAGCAGAAGCAGTCAATACAGAATAGTTTGTCTGTAATCAGAAAATCAGCCATGGAATATTGCATTAATATGTTTGGAGAAGCTTGCTTTCAGGTACTGGTCAACAGGTTTCAAGGTCTCCAGGCATGGAAAAATAAAGGGAAGAGCATTAAGATGGAACAAGTCCTGAATCTCCTATTAATTCTTTCTGGGAACTTAAAGGAGTTACTTATCTTTCCCTTTCTTGAGAAAATAAACATGTTAAGATTACCTCTCTCACATAATTCACAGAATTGCATCTGTAAATAACAAGTAAGTGAGGGCTGTAAAACATCTTGCTAAGGGGTCATCGTGCAAAAGTCAGTCAACGTAATTTTTAACTTGGGATGTTTTCCCTGAGCAGGGTTGAAGGTTCATAGCAAAGCCTCAGGTCAGAAGGCATGCATGAACTAAAAACAATTATCCTTTAGATGAATAAATGATGATCCATGGAGCTTTGTACACAGTGTGGTCTCTCTAAAACTACATCATGTTGGGAGTCATGTTGGGATTTCATATGCTAATATATGGAGATATGAGGAGAATTATAAGGGCATGGAGATCTCTGGAGATGTTCCCTGTGAGAGGATCTACAGCTCCTCATTCTACTTTCCCGGTGAAGAAGCAATTAAAGCTGCCAGTGGGGATCAAGCTTATTATTTTTAATATACGCACATAATTTGTGTGCATATTAAATTTGTTATTTCTTTTTTCACTCGCTAATGAATGCATAATTTACATACAGTAATACCCAGTATTAATACACACTGTACTGTATAGTTCTAAGAATTTTGTCAAATATATGGTCACATAATGACTACAACAATTACATTAAAAACATTTTCTAAGCCTACTTTTTGGTAACCTCTTTTCCCACCCACTATCCTGGCAACAAGTAAATTGTTTTTGTCCAAATAATTTTGCTTTTGCTAGAATGTCTTTAAATATAATCCTAGAATATGTAGTCATTGAGTCTGGCATCTTTCACTTTCACTTAGCAATTGAAACCCATATATATTGTTGCCTATGTCAGCGTTAAATCTTTTTTATTGTAGAAGAATATTGCATTATGTGGACATTATAGATTGTTTTTCTCATCGTGCAACTGAGGAACATTTGTACTGGTTTTAGAGTTTGGTGAGTAGAAATAAAGCTGATCTAAGCATTTCATTAAAGATTTCTGGGCGAGGCACTGTAGCTCACGCCTGTAATCCTAGCACTTTGGGAGGCTGAGGTGGGTGGGTCACTTGAGGTAAGAAGTTTAAGACCAGCCTGGTCAACATGGTGAAGCTCAGTCTCTACTAAAAATACAAAAATTAGCCAGGCATGGTGGTAGGCACCTGTAATCCCAGCTCCTCAGGAGGCTGAGGCAGGAGAATTGCTTGAATCTGGGAGGCAGAGGTGGAGGCTGCAGTGAGCCAAGATTGTGCCTCTGTACGCCAGCCTGGGTGACAGAGTGAGAGTCTGTCTCAAAAAAAAAAAGATTTCTGAGGTGAACATAGATTTTCATTTCATCTGAATAAATATTGATGAGTCAGACTGAATTGTTGCATGGTAGGCACATGTTTATCTGAATAAGAAACTGTCAACATCT